CCCGTGATGATCAAGTGGGATTGTACCGAAAACGAGAAGGGGGAAAAGGTTACCCAGAAGCTTTATAGAGTCAATAGAAGAATCGGAAGGAATATCTGCAGGACCCGTCTTCAAAGTTCATTGACCATGCTTCCCTTGCTTTACAAAAAGCACAGTAGAGGTGGATGTCAGTGTTGAGGGATAGGTCAACGGCGGTAATCAGCATTATACGAGCTGTGATTGGTCAATGGCCGTCGAAAAGGGAAACGGCCAACTTTGGGTCTTCTTGCCCCCGTAGTCAGTGTGACTGCAGCGATTTAGGGGTCTAACAAGGGGACTGACTCCATTCGGTTCGCCCCTCTTGCGAGCCTGAGGTCTGTACCTGTAGGCCTCCAACAAGGTCGCCACCCAGGCAGAGATCCACGACCTTCTACATATTACCATCCAGGCCATTTGCGTAATACAAAAGGTGTCGACCGAACCCGGGCCTTCAATTCTGTTCCAAGACAGCAAAGATAAAGTTGACACATCATCGAGAAAGGACCCTGAAGCAACATTCGTCATCCGCCCATATACGTCCTTCATCATGGGACTCCCGCTCGACAACACCCCGGCCAGAGACACTGAGTCAGGCACCACTGGTAACGGGCACGGAGCCACGACAACCGAATGGCACACAACTCCCATCGCTTCAGGAGCTGGAGTGAACACAGGCGCAGGAACGGCGCGTCCCAAGACGGACGCCGAAAAAGAGGCTGACCGACTTTATGAGGAGGCCATGGAAGAAGAGTACGCCAAGCGCGATGGCGGCGCCTAGGACATCCATCACTTGATCCCTCTCTCTCTCTCTCTCTCTCACACACACACACTCACACACACACACACACACAAACACATACATAGACAAAACTCATCTCTTCGCCAGCGCTGGATCCGGCTCATCGTATCTACAGGGGAAGCACAAAACCCATGCCACACTGTTTAATGCTACTTATTCTCCAATACCATAGACCACGTGAAACATTGCGAAGGAGCCCTCATTGGCAGCCTAGCAGTGCCACCCAGAACATCATGCCAAGCGTCTCCTGACGTCAATCCTCAGTAGTGCTGTTGAGACATTGTCACCCTATTCTACATCAGCGAAATCCTATCAGATCTGATTTCTATTACATTGTACTCGTTACGTTGCGTTCATGGGCATGTCGGACCATGGCCTGCAGGCCACGAGCCACTTGTTTATTTGTCCCTACTCACAAGTCGCGTCACCCGCCGTCACGTAACCTTGCCAGCGCCGCTGCTATGCCATCAGTGAGCTCATCTGGCGCACGGCTGCTGGCCGCAGACTCTGTTCTCTGGGAGGGCTCAATTCTCTGTGAAGCCTCTGCTCTCGCCGTGATTTTTGACTCCTCAATGGCAGCGGCGATCATTGCATCCTCATCGTCTTCGTCGGCTGCGACAGCAGGCCGCTGGGTCCCTGATTTCTTCCTTGCGGATGCTTCGCCACTAGGAACAGCCTCGGTGGGCGGGGTGTCTGCGGACGCGCCACCCATCGAAGACATCTCGCGCAGAGGGACACGCCCAAGGGGACGAGCCTGGTCGAGCCGCGATGGCGTCCCGTCCTCTGTGCTCTCGTCATGGACGAGCTTGCGCTTGGCAGCCTTCTTGGCCCTGAACGGCTCGTCAACCGCAGCGATCCACTTGTTCACCTTGATTGTTCCCCACCCAGCAATGACGCCAATCTGCTCGGCGTCGGCGTTGACAGCGTCTTTCAGACTGCCAAACGTACTCACGAGCGCAATGGCATCTGCCTTGTTCACGCTCCTGGGCACAGTCACAAAATCGACGAGCTTCTCCGCGTAGCTGGACGACTGCTGGCCGCGAATGGCGCTGAAGTTGGCGTGCTCGTATGACTTGTACAGCTCGAGATACCGGGCGGCCTCGGCGGCGGACCAGCACAATATGACAGTCACGTTGCTGACCAGCGAAGTCTTGGACAGTTCGCGCAGGGAGTCCTCATGGTTTGGGATGTCGACCATGGCAAGGATGATGCGCAGGTTGTATTTTCCTTGCAGGTTTCGTATCCGTTGATAAATGTATTCAGGGTGCAGGCGGTGGTATTTCAGGCTGCAGCACAGACTTGTCAGCAGCTGGGACAGCAGTAGTGGGAGGTTGGTCGGTGTCCGTACCTCAGGAAGAGCGCACAGGTGGTCAAGCCGAGCACAAAGTCGGCTGGAATATCGCTATATTCCCACGGGAGCGAACGTAGAGACGCGAGGACCGGGTTTCCCCTCTGGCGGGGCGACACCTGGATCGCAGAACCAGAAGACCGCTTTGGCAGCGCTTGTGGCGTCGGCTGCACCACTTTGCCGCCAGTGGCCGACGCACTCGCCGGTGGTGCTTTGTCGAGTCTCTGAGGTGTCGGTTGCTGGATCCTGGGCGCGCCTTGTTGTCGTGCTGCATGTGGTTTCGGTGGCGGCGGCGGCGCGTGCGGCCGTGAACTGCTCGAGTCGGACGCTGCGAGCGCCGCCAGGAAGTCGGCGTCCGCCCCAAAGTCGTCGTCCGCAGCCATTGCTTCGAGACGGAAACGCGGTCAACCCTCGGCTGTCGGCATGAAGCTATGCTTCAGAGGTCAGCCTTTGAATGGACTGACATGCAACCGACACGTTGGTGAATCGGGTGCTCGACAAAATGCGTCATAGCTTAATTGCGTCTCCAACCATGTAGATATGTCACGCTGACAATCGGCTGGTCCGTGCATTGGTGATTCAAGCCGCTATGTACCATCACACATGCCTTACCTAGGTACCTATGCAAACCATCGCGCCTACGATATTTGATTGTTAAGGATGAGCTCACAAGGCTGATCTTACTCCCCCAGTAAGGCATCAAGCCTAGGGTTGTGTACTATCACTCAATCACATCAATAAGGTATTTCGCCATCCACAAAAGGGCTATTCTCTGTTTAGACACCCAAGAGTTGAATAAAATTGTTATGGTATTAAAGTCGTGGTCTACCAACGTCATATATTACAGATTTAGCGTTTTCGCGTTTTAACTTTGATCGCCAAGCTTCGATTAAGGCAAAGACGAGGTATCGCTTCGGGACCAAGACTC